GAGCGAGCGCCGGAGGTTGGCAGCGACCTAGCGCTTGGTATCGAAGGCGAGCGAGCGCCGGAGGTTGATAGCGACCTGGCGCTTGGTGTCGAAGGCGAGCGAGCGCCGGAAGTTGGCAGCGACCTGGCGCTTGGTGTCGAAGGCGAGCGAGCGCCGGAGGTTGGTGAGTCAGTCCCTGACGGTCGAGGATGGTTTGTCCGCTAGGTGCTATCCTCCACCTTCCTCTTCTTGACCACTCTGTGGAGTGGCGTTAAGCGAGTTCTTCGCCGGAGGGCGATCTCGGCCACTGTGGGCAGCGTGGCGATACTCTTAACCCGTGGCGTCTTGAATGGTGATGCGGCGACTGGCGCCGTATCGTTAACCAACGTTTAAAGCGACTTGCGCTAGAAAGTAGGCGACTGGCGCCAAGAACTTTCTTCGTGCTTTCTCCGCAGGGGGTCTGACCTATATTCCGGCCGGACGGCTTTCCACTTGCAAGTTGGCTCGGGCGCCTTGCGCCGCCTAGCGGTGCTGCCCGCAACTACGCGCGGACGCGCTATATGCCCGCCGGACTACTTTCCACTTCCATGTTGGCCCGAGCGCTTTGCGCCGGCTAACGGCGCCTCCCGCACTACGCGCGGACGGGCGTGCGCTTGCGAGAAACGCTAATATTTCGCGAATATCGCGCTGCCGTAATTTTGTGGTTGCCGTAGGCCGCCACAAATACTTTCTTGAGGTCCAATGGATGGACACGACGGATGCACATTAATTCTAGTATGGACAATTAAATTGGACGCACATAATATACGAATATTGTTTCTATATTCGGATTTAATCCTTCGTATTTGTCGTTCAGACATTGTGTGCAGCCTCTTTCAACTGATTGAGGTTTTTATATATCGTCTTTCCATATTAATATATAAAAATACAAATACAATAGCAAAAGATTGCAGGTGCAAAGTAATTGTTGACTCGCAGGAACGCAAGTACAACGTAGCAAACATGTTATGTTTTAGTACTTAGCCACTTGCTGTGACGGAACAGAGAATAATTATATTACGGTATCCTTAAGTATTTTTATACATGAAAAAATTTGTGACAGAGATAACAAAACATGGTTGTGTGTAAGGGATTAATAGTACATACAATACATTGCAGGTGTGCAATACAACAATGTGTTCGCAGCCTCATGTCACAGGAACAGACAAACTACATGGCAATATGTCTGTTTTTTACATCATCAGTTTCTATGATCGATGAATAACGGCACCTTCGATAATATTTCACATCACGTATATGAACAACACGACCTTGTATAGATAGAAAGAACGATTCGTCGTGTATCTAAAACACAAACAGAGAAAAACATTTATTTTTATGTACAGAGTTGCAATGACCGCACTCAGAATAACAAGTAGTTTCTAAATTAATGCTATATACATACCACAAGCTATCGCAGGTATAACAATGTGTTCGCAGCCTCATGTCACAGGAACAGACAAACTACATGGCAATATGTCTGTTTTTTACATCATCAGTCTCTATGATCGATGAATAACGGCACCTTCGATAATATTTCACATCACGTATATGAACAACACGACCTTGTATAGATAGAAAGAACGATTCGTCGTGTATCTAAAACACAAACAGAGAAAAACATTTATTTTTATGTACAGAGTTG